GTGTTTCTTTCTCACAACAGTAGCAGCGAAAATGGTGATTAATCGCATTTTACAGTTCACATTTTTTTAAACACCTTTTCTCCATTTTTTCCTCACACCCCAGCCCCCCATCCCCACCCCGGGGAAAGCGGGGGATGGGTTAGCTGACACGGACCCATTCACAGAGTGAGGAAATAGCTCCACCAGAGTAGAACCCGAGGCGTGAGTTGCAAGTCTGCATGTAACCCACTGACTTCCAAGTCACTGGTTTTGCTTCGAGGAACTGAAGCTATGTTAGCGGAATACAGCTCCCTCATGATTACAAAATCCTGCCAACTCTGAATATCCAACGAAATGAATGGGTCTAGGGTCTGGGAGATGTTGGGGAATCGTAAATGCAAAAGATTATGGGAGAGAGAAAGAGAGAGAGAGAGAAGGGTTCTAGAGCCAAGGGTGAAGAAGTGAGAAGAGAAGGGTGAAGAGAGCCAAAGAAAGTACAAGTATCTTCCCTCTCCTCCCCCCCGCCTTCCATCCCTCAGGAGAGAGCCTCTCTGGTAGCGTGTGGTCAACAGAATTGAAATAAAGTAGGAAAGTTGTTTATTTCCTCTGTTCACACCGAAACGGGAAGTTGGGTTGTTGGTTGTTGGTGGAGAAAGACTCTGAGAAGAGAAACTACAGAATTTATAGGGTCCCAGTGCTGAATTCAAGAATGTATAGCTTCATGTTCCACCGCCTTTCCCCAGTCGTTCCTGCCAAATCCGTGATAGGTAAAGTCTTGAGGGGGGGGGTCACACCAATTGAGACCTCAAAGAAGGGAAGGTCACTTCCCTCAGGGAGCAGACACATGTGCACTCCGGATCCCAGCCAACACCTAAAGTTAGGTTGTTTTTAGTACCATGTTTTATTTATTTTATTTTATATTTTTAAAAATTTATTTCTGAGAGAGAGAGAGGCAGCATGAGCAGGGGAGGATCAGAGAGAGAGGGAGTCACAGAATCTGAAACAGGCTCCAGGCTCCGAGCTAGCTGTCAGCACAGAGCCCAACGTGGGGCTCAAACTCACAATCTGTGAGATCATGACCTGAGCTGAAGTCGGATGCTCAATCTACTGAGCCACCCAGGCACCCCTTATTTATTTTATTTTTACAGTTTATTTATTTATTTTGAGAGAGACAGAGACAGTATGAATGGGGGAGGGGTGGAGAGAGAGAGAATCCCAAGCAGGCTCTGCACAGTCAGTGCAGAGCTCGATGCAGGGCTTGAACCCAGGAACTGTGAGATCAGGACCTGAGCCAAAACCAAGAGTTGGACTCTTACCCTACGAGTCACCCAGGTGCCCCTTACAGCCATTTTACATATAAGAAAACTGAGGTTGCTTGACAAAGTTTAGTTAAACCATGATATCAGAATATTGTATACATATTTCAATTTAAATAGTTACCTTTTTAAAAAGTGTTTGTTTATTTTTGAGAGAGGGAGAGAAACAGAGCATGAGTAGGGGAGGGTCAGAGAGAGAGGGAGACACAGAATCTGAAGCAGGCTCCAGGCTCTGAGCTGTCAGCACAGAGCCCGAAGAGGGGCTCAAACCCACAAACAGTGAGATCATGACCTGAGCAGAAGTCGGAAGCTTAACCAACTGAGCCACCCAGGCGCCCCAGTAAAGTTACCTCTGATAAGTACAGTATTACATGCACAATTAAAAATTATTAATATCAACAACTCAAAGGTCAATGTAAAATTATGATTATAATTACGTTTAAAATTGAGTATCAGTGGGACCCATGGTTGGCTCAGTGGGTGGTAGAGCTCCTGACTCTTGATCTCAGGGCTGTGAGTTCGAGCCCCATGTTAGGTGTAGAGATTACTTACAAATAAAATCTTTAAAAAATAATAAAATTGAGCATCGCTGACCATACATGCCCAGGAAAGCATTATGTTATAAATAACAAGAGTCAGGAGTTCTTCTTTTAATAAGGGGAGGTTCCTAATTCTCCTCTGACTCAGCTTCAGCCTCTTCCCTTTGGGATAGTCCTTCCCCAGAAGAAGAGAACCTAGGGCGATTGCTGGGGGATGCGTGAGCCACCAGCTCTGCCTTCTCCTTTCTGTGCCCTGGGGAAACGGAGACTCAACTGGTAAGCACTCCAGGAAAAGAGCAAAGGGGGTGGCTTTAGGGGAGGAAGGGACAGATGGGAGAATGCCCTTCGCAGCCCAATGCCTCGTTCCAAGCTCCTTTTAAAATCAGCAGGGGAAGTGGGCTTTCATGACTTCCTGCGACTGGCTGTGGGTTGAGCCAGCCGGAGCCGGCATCGGACTCAGAAGAAAGCAAAATCAAAGTCACTTCTGCAGCCCCCTCCCCCGCCCCCCCCCTCCCGGGGCAGCTCAGTCGGTTAAGCACAGACTCTCGGTTTTGGCTCAGGTCGTGATTTCACGGTTCGTGGGACTGAGTCCTGCATTGGTCTGTGAGCTGGCAGTGGGGAGCCTGCTTGGGATTTCGGTCTCCTCTCTCTGCCCCTCCCCTACTCCGTCTTGCTCTCTCAAAATAAATAAATCAACTTAGAAAAAGCCCGCACTTCTGCAGAGTTTATAATACACAAACCTTCCTTTTTTAAAAAAATTTTTTTAAGGTTTATTTATTTTTGAGAGAGAGACAGAGAGAGCGAGCACAACTGGGGGAGGGGCATAGAGAGAGGGAGACACAGAATCCGAAGCAGGCTCCAGGCTCCGAGCTGTCAGCACAGAGCCCGATGTGGGGCTCGAACCCATGAGCCTTTCTATCATGACCGGAGCCAAAGTCTGATGCATCACCGACTGAGCCACCCAGGGGCCCCAAACCTTTCTTTTACATAGCGAAGATCACACACACACAGTAAGATACTTTAAATAAAATTGAGGCTGTATGTGGACCTTCCTCAGGAAAGCATCCAGCCCCTCAGCGTTACCTGCTGTCCAGAAACTGGCCTTAATCCTCATGCATATTCATCGATTTCTAAATGTTTTATTTGAAAATCTGCATTTGCCTGGTATCAGGCTCTAATGCATCTCTTAAACAATTTGAGTTTTAATTGGTATTTTTTTTTTGGTATTTGCTCATGTTTACCATGTGGTTCTAATTGCTGGGTGTTTTTTTTTTTTTTTTACTTTATAAAGTTTATTTATTCTGAGAGAGAGAGAGACAGACAGAGAAGAGAAGGAGAGAGAGAGAGAGCCCTGCATTGGGCTCATTGCCCTCATCAGTGAGCCCACTTCAGATCCTCTGTCCTCCCCTCTCTCTGCCCCTCCCCTGCTTGCACTTTCTCTCTCAAAGATAAACAAACACTAAATGAATTAAAAAATTACTTTTAAAATTCATAATCTTTTTGGGGTCTCTCCCCCAATTGCCTAGCATTCCTGGGCATAATGTATTTTATGTATTTTATGTATTTACCTGATGTATCTCTTTTGAGTGGACAGAAAGCAATGTTGGCTATCGCGTGGCGATATAAAAGCTAACAATTATCTTCAGGTCCTTCCAATTTATGTGAATACAATTTTCTCTTCTTTCCTCAAGGTTAATAGAGACGTAGCAGAGAGATAAACATACCGGCTCATAAAATGGAAAATTATACATCTAAGAAAAGGATGGGCAGATGTAAGAGATGCCCGCTGACATGGTGAGAGTATATGTACTACCCTTTGAGGATTTTGATGGCTTTGAATCCTCTGTACCTCATTATTTTTGCCCCATCCCCCTCATTATGGACGCATGAAATACTGAGTGCTGTGGCCTTTTTATTTATTTATTTATTTATAAATATATTTTTTGTTTTATATATTTACTTGTCTTACATATTTTATTTTATTTATTTTTTTAATTTTTTAAAATTTATTTTAATTTTTTTAAATGTTTTTTATTTATTTCTAGGAGAGAGAAAGAGAGAGAGAGCGTGAGCAAGGGAGGGTCAGAGAGAGAGGGAGTCACAGACTCTGAAACAGGCTCCAGGCTCTGAGCTGGCAGTCAGCACAGAGCCCGACGCAGGGCTCGAACCCACGAACTGCGAGATCATGACCTAAGCGAAAGTCGGACGCTTAACCGACTAAGCCACCCAGGCGCCCCTTACCTTACATATTTTAAATGTATTTATTTATTTTGATAAATATATTCAAATATATATTTAAATACATTTATTTATTTACTTAATTTATTTTATAGATTTTGTCTTATTATTTTTTAAGTGTATTTATTTATTCTGAGGAAGAGAAAGGGCAGAGAGAGAAAGAAAGAGAGAATCCCAAGTAGGCTCCATGCTGTCAGCACACAGCCTGACGCAGGGCTCGATCTCACAAACTGTGAGATCGTGACCTGAGCTGAAACCAAGACTCAGACGCTTATCAGACTGAGCCCCCCAGATGCCCCTGTTTTGTTGCGCTTTTTTTTTTCACTTTTTAAAGAAAAGATGTTGCTTACATTTTTCTTTATTCGCTCGCCTCATTATACCTGAGGGGGAACACCTTCCTGGGTGGCCAGATGTATGACCTAGACTTTCTCTCTCCATCACTGGGTAATATGGCCTTGACTGTGAGCACAACAACTTCATACCTGGGCACAAGTGAGTCTATGGACTTGCCTTCAACTCTTTCCCTGATGCCATGGCTGTGCTTTTGACCATCCCAAGGCAAGAGGCAAACTCACTCGGCACGTTTTCTAGCTTGGGTACTGAGTAATATGACCCTGCTAGAATTAATCATCTCGAGGATTTACGATCATGGTGTTATCTCCTTGCTTTACAAGTGGGGCAACTGATATTGCCCTTAGAGAGTTGAGCAACAATGTTGGTATGACCATAAGTGCCGTGAACCGGTCTGTGGGTTTTCATCTCTACAGTTACGACAAACTCACACTAAATAAACAGATGTTGCTTTTGGGGAAGTTTAATTCATCTAGTGTGGTGCAATTGTACAAAAGTTCCCTCCTTTTTAGGACCAGTGAAGGATAGCAGAAAAGTAAGGAACTTCTCACACCCCCTACTTTCCTAGCATGCAACATGGTTGTACAAGTTATATTCGAGTCTGTAGTGAGTCTTACCAAGTATTACATGCACATGTGATGAAGATGAAGCATTGAGAATCAAATGAGCCACATCTCCTGAGATGAGCTCCATGTCTGTTGTGTGGACATGGAGGAACAGTCAACACAGCGAAATAAGTGAATCCTGGGGCGGACATCAGAAAACGCATCACTCTGAGGATGGAGCGTCTGGTTTGTGTTACTCCCACTGCACCACGGTGAGGAGACCAAACCCCCTGCCATCCAGTTCCCTGCACATAATAAAATCATAGCACGCTTTGTGTTTTCCCAGGCTGTGTGGGTGCAGCGGTGATGCAGACGAAGAGAAGAATGCTTCCCGCTCCGAGAACTTGTACCTGTCACAGTGGAGGATATCCTCCCGGTTAAAGCAAAAACAGAAGATCTCTGCTTCTTTTCAGGTCCGACGCAAAGTTGAAATTTTAAGGTAAGAGATACTATATTTAGTGTGGATAAAATGGAAGATTCTAGATCTCATCTCTCCGTCTCATAGAGATCAATAAAAAGCAAAGACATTTAGATTATTCGCGTAAAAATCAGCGTATTTGTTCTTTCTTTTTCGTTGTTATGACTTTTTATTTTGAGATGGTTTAAGACCTACAGGGAGTAGGAAAAATAGTAGAGAATGAGCAAAAATGTTCACTCACCCCAGCTTCCCCTAATGATGGTATCTTTTATAACAATAGTCATTGTCAAGGTGCCCGAGTGGTTCAGTCAGTTGAGTGCCGACTCTTGATTTCAGTTCAGGTCATGATCCCAGGGTTGTGCCATCCAGCCCTGCACTGAGCTCCAAGCTGAGCATGAAAGTTGACATTGACCCAATACTGTTAACTCAGATATAGATTTTATTTCAAGGTAATATATGACAGGCTGGAATATATTGCCGATGAACACAAGAAATCTTCAGTCTTGCTTCGTCTACCCACCCCTTCTCAATGGGATATTTCTATAAAGGGGACCATGATTTGTAGGACTCAATAAACCAGTTTATTTGGTTGAACCAATGCCAGATACTTCAATGCCAATCTCTAGCTAATTGGACTGTAGTAGATGATTAAGGTCAGGGCTATCCATAGAATTCCTGCCATGATGGATGTAGCTCATATCCGTGGTGTCTGATATGAAAACCATAGTCCACCCATGGTGTCTGGCCACTTAAAATATGGCTACTTCAAGTGAAGAACTGATTTTAAAATTTAATTAATTAAAATTTAAGTTTAAATAGGCACACGTATCTAGTGGCTATCATATTAGACAGTACAAGCCTTGGCCCAAAGGACGCTCCCTTGCTCCTAACCCCAATCTTGATCCAAGGGACCCTGGAGCCCAGCTCTCAAGTGTGAAGAAGGAGAAAGAACCTAGCATAGGACTTTTCTGTTCCATACCTGGATGAAAATCCCCAGTAGAAGAAGAAAATAAGACTAATATTCATCGTTTCCTTCCCTGGTAGCATCTCAGGTGTACCTCACTGTGTGGGGGCAGGAGGTAGAAGACGGGCATTAGTACTGGATGGGTTCTTTTTTTCTTAAATTTTTAAATTTTTTTTTTAATGTTTTATTTATTTCTAGGAGAGAAGAGAGAGAGACAGCGTGAGCAGGGGAGGGTCAGAGAGAGAGGGAGTCACAGACAGAAACAGACTCCAGGCTCTGAGCAGGCAGTCAGCACAGAGCCAAACAAGGGGCTCGAAACCACAAACCGCGAGATCATGACCTAAGCGAAAGTCGGACGCTTAACCGACTAAGCCACCCAGGCGCCCCTTTTCTTAAATTTTTAAATGTTTAGTTATTTATTTTGAGAGAAAGCAAGAGAAGCATGAGCAGGGATGGGGCAGAGAGAAACGGAGAGAGAGAATCCCAGGCAGGCTCTGCACTATAAGCGCAGAGCTCAACTAGGGGCTTGAACCCAAGAACCATGAGATCTTGACCTGAGCCAAAGTCAAGAATCGGTTGCTAACTGACTCAGCCACCCAGGCGCCCCGTCTTAGGTGGGTTCTTGCAGAATGTAATCTCACTGATGTCCTGGAATCTCAGTCACTCACATTAGAGTCCCATTCTCTTGGGCACCATTGATGGGTGAAGGCAGAATATAAGCTAGCAATCTTCTCCTCTTCCTAAAATTCTCAACAAGGTCACTTAAATCAAGACGCTAGCATGAAACAAAACCTTACAGCAAGTACTGGTGTTGAGAATCAACTGAGTTCCTCTTCCTGGGATGGAGAGAGCTGTATGGAATGGGAAATAGAGACAGAGTGAAATCCAGCACGAGGAGGGGTGAGATGGAGTCATGGGGACTTGAGAGAAGACTTCCCTAAAGACAAAGCATGGGGTCTGTGGCTTTTAACTTAAAATCGTGCTGCCGAGATGCTGTATTCAATACTGTTTTTTTTTCAAAATTTTTAATGTTTTATTTATTTCTGAGAGAGAGAGAGAGAGAGAGAGAGACAGCTTGAGCAGGGGAGGGGCAGAGGGAGAGGGAGACACAGAATCTGAACCAGGCTCCCGGCTCTGAGCTGTCAGCACAGAGCCCGACGCAGGGCTTGAACCCACGAACTGTGAGATCATGACCTGAGCTGAAGTTGGACGCTTAACCGACTGAGCCACCCAGGCGCCCCTCCATGCTGTATTCATAACACAACTTCTGTTCTGTTCGCAGTGGCATTGGTGATGCATCTCACCCCAGCTCTTCAGCTGTGCAGCTACACAATAACCGCCTTTCCACTTTCTCAGAAAATGAAGAATATTATGATGTGACGATATCAGAAGAACCATTGTATATCAGTGCTCTGGGAACTAAGTCCTGTGAGAAAGAGGATTCCAAGTAAGGGGAATGATTATATGGGGAGAGCTGTGATAATACTGGATTCCATTCCTCAATACCACAGGTGCCCATGAGAATCAGGGGGATTTGGTCATTTTTTAAAAAAAATTTTAAACATTTATTTATTTTTGAGAGACAGAGAGCATGAGCAGGGGAGGGGCAGAGGGAGAGGGAGACACAGAATCATAAGCAGGCTCCAGGCTCTGAGCTAGCTGTCAGCCCAGAGCCTGACACGGGGCTCAAACCCCTGAACCACAAGATCATGACCTGAGACGAAGTCAGCCGTCCAACTGACTGAGCCACCCAGGTGCCCGGGATTTGGTCATCTATATAGGAATAAGGGGGAGAATGAATGAGGTTACACAGTCTTACCAACAAAGCCAGAAATTTATGAATGAGGTCAACCACCTCCTCTTCCAGGAAGGCATCTTGAGAAGCCAAACACAAAAAGGCAGTAATGGATGGAAAGATCACTGTGTCATCAGTTGAGCTGGAAACCAAATCCAATAGCTAACTCAATGCCCTGGGAAACTAGCTCATGAAGGATGAACTGGGGTCCCTGAAGGGGTATGCTGGAAAATATTCAACACTAGCTTCCCCAGGAGAGTGGAGAGAGCTTTTATTTGTAGTGCTGGCCAATTTCCGTGAGGCGACTACTTCTATCATGGTGGATTTCAAACTGCGACATGACGTCCCTGAACGTGGGTGGAGCTGTTGAGGTGCTCAGTAGCCTATAGATGTAAATAACCTCAAGAGCTCAGAGTATAGAGGTGCCTGGGTGGCTCCGTAGGAAGGGCTTGCAACTCTTGATCTCGGGACCCTGAGTCGGAGCCCCACGTTGGGTGGAGAGATTACAAAAAAATAAATAAATAAACTAAAAAAAAAAAAAGAAAAGAATGCAGAATATAGTAAGATGTGGTAAAATAATTAGGAAGTACTAAGTTTTGAGCATTCATTTATTTGTAATATAGTCTATTTAAATGAAAGTCTCATATAACTTAATTTTTAATAATAGCTGTGTTGAGCCACCTGCCCACAAAATTCTTGAAAAATTTAACAGTCGGATCCCGCGATCTGGGCTGAGTTAGCTCCAGCTCACCAGGGGCTTCCTCCCACAACCTAAATCCCAACCTCAGCCACCCCTTGGAAGCCAGGGCAGGAGCACCACACAGAAGGCAGTGTATTTAACCTCCGTGCTTTGCATGGGGCTAGCATAATCCGTCATGGCTTCTGTAGCCTCAGACATGAGCACTAAGGCTGAGGAGGGCAGGTCATGTTTCTCACATGTAGCTTGCCCAAGAACTCTTTTGCGAAAAGAGCCACAGCTTCTTTCTTTTAAGTCCACTTCTCCATGTGTTCCTTTTACCCTTAGTCTGTGTATCAATTTCTCTGTTAATCCCTTTCACGTTGAAGTGAATAGACATAGCAAGGACTACATACCGAGTCTGGGGGTCAAAGATTACATGTATAGATCAAGAAATGAAGACAATCTGAGAACACCTCAGTGAAACTAGACATTTCAGGGTACCATGGCAGCAATTATGCAATAACTACTTTACCCACAGAAAACAATGCTTTTACTTCCTCTTTCCTGACATCCTCCCCCCTCCCCTGCCTTTTTAAAATTTAAGCAGGCTTCAAGACCAGCACAGAGCCCAACACGGAGCTTGGATTCACAACCGTGAGATCATGACCTGAGATCAAGAGGCAGACACTGAACTGACTGAGCCACACAGGCGTCCTTCTTGCCCTGTGATCCCCCAGGTCTCAATTCCTTCCACATTTCCAACTCCCCAAGACAGAGATTGGGTTATGCTGGTTGTCCTCAGGTCTTAGGGGCGGATTTCTCACCACGAGGCACTTTATAAACCACTAGCTCACCCCATAGATCGTAACATTCAACTTTGTCTAAATAGTGGAATCGTTTGGGAAGCTTTAAAAGCAATGGTGCTTTGGTCTCACTTCCAACCTCCTGATTTAATTGGCATTGGCTGTGGCCTGTGTTTTGTGATGGGTGTGTGTTGGGGGTGCGGTGTGGTTTAGCTTCCCAGGAGCAGTCAAGTTCGGGCACCACTGCTATGGGGAGGTGTGTCTCACCATGAGTCAATTGATAATTTAGTGGGTTTATTCCAAAAGTTATATGATACAAATGAGAGCCATTTAATCAATCAATCAATCAATCTCCCAAAATGTTTGTTTGACTAAATTCTATTTCATGTATAAACATGACAGTCTCCCTACTGTTCATTAGACTTTAGCAGTTAAAAAAAAAAAATAAAGCAACCTTATCCAGGACAGTGAAAATACCAAGGGTGCCAAAATCTGCAGTTTTATGGTAGGATATACAGATATAGATATAGGTATAGATATATTCATATGTATATACGTGTATAAATATAAGGGAGAGCGCTCCCTTTTGGCCATATCAACTCTCAGTTCTGATCATTAACTATAGATAAATGTCAAAATCACTTCTTTGCTTTTCCAAGACCCCTGTAGCCGTCGTCATCCACCTCTGGCCATTTGTTCTCGAGTGACATCAATCATTTCATCTGGAAAGTCTCCCTGAATGATGATTTCATCCTGTCCTGTTACTGAGTCCCCACGGGAGAATTTTTGAGCAACACGTCTCTGTGTTTCTTTGAGATTAATTTTGAAAGTCACAAGGTCACCTAGCTCTGTCACACATTTCTCCTTCACTCCGGGAATTTCGGTGATCAGAACCTTTTGTGGCAGAGTCTTCTTTTTTGCTCTATTTGACCGCTTCCGCCTCTCTTCTGCTTTTTCTTCTGTTCCTCTTCTCCTGCTGTGCCTTTTGACCCTCACCACTGTCCGCTTCTTGTTTCAGTGAATTTTCTTCAGGAAGTTTTGCAAGCTCATTTGCCACATTCTTCTCTACTGCTTGCTTCGGCAGCACAAATACTAAACTCGGAAAATTCTTGTCTAACCACTATTGACATTTAGTGATGTCAGGCATGTGTACTCACAGAACTCACTCTGTACCGAACAGACCCCACAGTAAAGGACTCAGAGTGGGTAGCGTGCAGCTAACCTGCCCTAGAGTATTGCCCCTCAGACCTCCTTTGCCATCATGCCCGGGGGATGCAGAAATATAAGCAGTCACATCTCACACACCCAGGTGGTCACAAAATTCCTGTCCCCTCCAGTCCTGCCACTACCTCCCACTGGAGCAACACATGTCCAGTCAGAGTAATTTAAAGTTTATTTTGAGAGAGAGAGAGAGAGAGAGAGAATCCTAAGTAGGCTCTGCACCATCAGCACAGAGGCTGATGTGGGTCTTGAACCCACAAAATGTGAGATCATGACCTGAGCCAAAATCAAGAGTCAGACACTTAACTGACTGAGCCATCCAGGCACCCCGACAGCCAGAGCAACTTAAACAATAGAAGTTAGGTATGGCCACTTTGGACACTGGTATAATAGGAGAAGAGGTTGAATCGTCAAAACACATTTGGTTTGGGAGATCCTCTTAGTTTTACTATGCTCATATTTTGTTAGCAAACCTCTCTTGGTCCAAATCATCTCTTTATTGAGAGTCTACTACAGCTGTCCAGTAGAACTTTCCGTGATGATGGAAATGTTTTATTCTGCGGTGGCCAATATGGTATCCATTTTCCACATGTAGGTATTAAGCACTTGAAATGTGGATAGTACAGCTGAGGAGCTGAATTAAAAAAAAATTTTTTTAACCTTTATTCATTTTTGAAAGACGGACAGAGACAGAGCATTAGTGGGGGGGGGGCAGAGAGAGAGGGAGACACAGAATCTGAAGCAGGCTCCAGGCTCTGAGCTGTCAGCACAAAGCCCAACACGGGGCTTGAACCCACGAACCGTGAGATCATGACCTGAGCTGAAGTTGGATGCTTAACCAGCTGAGCCACCCAGGTGCACCTGAGGAGCTGAATTTTAAGTCAAATTAAGTTAAATCAAATTAAGTTTAAAATGAAGTTAAATTAAATTAAATTACAAGTTTAAATGGCCTCTTTTGGCTAGTGGCCACTGTTCGGGCAAAACAGCTCTAGCTTTCAATCATATCCCCATTATCATCATCATCATTATTATTATGTTTTTTGCGTATGTATGAACTGATTTCTTTTCTCTCTCTCTTTTTTTAAGTAATCTCTTCACCTAACATGGGGGTCAACCTCACGACTCCAAGATCAAGAGCCGCATGCTCTATTGACACTCAGGTGCCTATTGTGACCTGATTTCTAATATTTTCCTCATTTTTGAACTCAAGGGCTCCAGTCAGAAGCAAATCTGAACACCAGGAATCTTTACAGAGTCAAGAATCAGGTAATTGGCTAACGTAGAGTTGAGATCAAGGCTGTGTCAGTGGGTTGATAGAAATGTCCTGTGGTTTTACACAGAGAAGAGAGTGTTGAAATCCTTTGTGGCAGTGATGACCAAAACCAATTTTTCTTATGTCTAACACCATCCTCCATGTGACTTAAATGGGTATATGGAGTACTTAAAATCTTGGACATTATTTCAGGAATGGATTCCATATTCCAAACACTCTATTTGGAACATTACACATATTCTCTTTTTATTATACACGGAAACTCTACAAAAGGATTATATAGATTCTACTTCAAAAAAAAAAAAAAGATAAAGCAAACTTAGAAGTGAGAAATCTTCCAGCTGGTAAGTGAGCTGTGGGAGCATTGGATTGTGTCTGGGTATAATTAAAAGGGGCCTCTCTTCCTTTACCCTATTCCATGCTAAGACTTCAAAAAACAAGCAATGTGTGGTTAAGGGTCTTGATCTTTTATGACATTTGTACACAATTGTCTGATTGGCTTTGGGCTAGGAGGCATTCTCATTGCATTAGTCTACTAGGGCTGCCATAACAAAGTACCCCAGACTAGGAGACTTAAACAATAGAAGTTAATTTTCTCATGGTCCTGGAAGCTAGAAGCCTGGTAGATTTGGTGTCTCATGAAGACTCTCCTCCTGGCTTGTAGATGTGTAGATGACCACTTTCTCCCTGGGTCCTCCCATGGCTATTCCTCTGTGCATCCAGAGAGAGAGAGAGAGAGAGAGAGAGAGAGAGAGAGAGAGAGATGGAGGGAGATATCTGGTCCCTCTTTTCTTATAAGGACACCAGGACACCATTCTTATTGGATAAAGAGTTCTTTCTTATGACTCATTAAACTTTTTTTAAATGTTTATTTATTTTTGAGAGAGAGAGAGATCATGAGCAGGGGAGGGACAGGGAGAGAGGGAGACACAGAATCCAAAGGAGGCTCCAGGCTCTGAGCTGTCAGCACAGATCCCAATGAGGGGCTCATGAACTATGAGATCATGACCAGATTTGAAGTTGGATGCTTAACCAACTGAGCCACCCAGGCACCCCTCTTATAACTCATTTAAACAGTCGTACCTCCTTATAGGCTTCATCTTCAAATTCAACCCATATATCTATGCTCATTGTGTTGGATTGGAAAAAATTACCTAACCTGACTATATTAGATCCTGTCATTACTTGCTCCACCTCTAAGTGCTGATGGTTGAAAGCTGTCTTACATGGTGTGAGGTAGTTTGAAAGGCATGTGAGATTCAAGGAGAGCAGGGCATTGGTGTTGGCTGTATCTTGATGCTCAGCCCAACTCCTGGTTTACCAGTCATGTGGTCACAGAGTAGTTAATCACATTAATAGCTGACACTGTGTACTATTTTCGCTGGGTATCACACAGCCAGGTACAAAGATTCAGAGCAGTTCTACACGAGGAAAAAACTCCGAGAGGTTAAGTAACTGTTTAACTGAGACTTTTTATTTTTCCTATACAAGACCTCTACTCTCTGCAAAATGAGATTCTCTCATATATAATTCCTCATAAACCAATTTTTGTCAGAGGACAGTGTATCAAAGATTTCTATTGTCTAGGATAGAGGTATTTGTTCTATGCAAATCATCCTCACCCAGAGCCTAAGCGTGGGAAAGAAATTCAGCAGAGCATGCGTGGAGGCTCTCCAAGCGTTGCTGCGCAGGCGCATCTTGGAAACATTCAGGGAACCGGGGGATGGTCTGGGGTGCCTCAGGATGGAAGGTGGAGAGCATGAGGGTGAACAGATGTGCCTTTACCTCTTCAGCTTTCATGCTTGTTCGCTTTACGGACTTGACTTCCCTCACCAGCAGTATTTTCTGCTCTTTGGGACCACATAGAAATTTAGCCGTGGTGGTTCCTGCCCTAGACAAATAAGCCCCCCACCCCAAAGCTGTCCAGCCTGACTTCCTTCTTAAATTTGGGTAGTAACAAAGAACATTCTTATGCCTTTCTTTGTGTGGATTCAAGAACAAAGCCCCTTGTGCTAGCCACGTACGCTTCTCACTTATAGCTGGATTCCCAACAGCATGTGTGTAATTCAACACCTAGGACCCCTTTGGAGGTGCCTGGAGGTCATGTCGTTTCTAACAATCCTCATCCATAAGTGCAATACTTTTTTTCAGAAGATACTTGCTGGGAAGAGAAGTCAGTAGTGCCCCTCCTGGTTGCTAAACTCTATTCTGGGACTAACCCAGCTTGTAAAAGTAATCGGTTCCTGGGACCTGAAGGAAATGTGGATATTGAGTCAATTGATAAGAGTGCAAAAAGATACAGGTAAGAATTGAAGATGCTGATTGTTTAAATACAATTCTACTATGAAGGAGTATATACTGTGTGATACTTAACATGTATGTACATGTACATGATATATCTGTGTAATATGTATGTGTGTATATGTATATATATAGATGTGTGTGTGTATATATAGAATTGTAATACACACATATATATTACAATTCTATTATGAAGGAAGTATATATTGTGTGATACTTATGTATACATGTACATGATGTATCTCTCAAATACATCTGAAAGTTTTTTAAATATTTTTTTATTTATTTCTAGGAGAGAGAGAGAGAGAGACAGCGTGAGCAGGGGAGGGTCAGAGGGAGAGGGAGACACAGACTCTGAAACAGTCTCCAGGCTCTGAGCTGGCAGTCAGCACAGAGCCCGACGCGGGGCTCGAACCCACGAACCGCGAGATCATGACCTAAGCGAAAGTCGGACGCTTAACTGACTAAGCCACCCAGGCGCCCCGGTCTGAAATTTCATCAATATTCTCTGTACTCCATTTTCTGAGTTAGATTTTAATTTTAATAGCTGTAGAATAAAGAGAAATAGGGCCCAGAGAGCTTAACTCCCTAGAGTTTTCTAATGTAGTGAAATTCACAGATATGTCTTGAACCTTGCTTCATTCCAAGCATCACATCCTTCTGCACATTTGTTCTTTATTTTTTTAATGCTCATTTATTTATTTTCAAGAGGGGTGGAGGACAGAGAAAGAGGGAGAGAGAGAGAATCCAAGCAGGATCCATGCTGTCAGCCCAGAGCCCGACACAGGGCTTGAACTCACAAACTGAAATCATGACCTGAGCAGAAATTGAGTCAAACACTCAATTGATTGGCTCACCCAGGAGCCCCTGCACATTTGTTTTTTCTTCCTTCCTTCCTTCCTTCCTTCCTTCCTTTTCTTTCTTTCTTTCTTTCTTTCTTTCTTTCTTTCTTTCTTTCTTTCTTTCTTTCTTTCTTATGTTTTATTTACTTTTGAGAGAGAGAGAGACAGCGTGAGCGGGGGAGGGGTAGAGAGAGAGGGAGACACAAAATCAAAGCAGGCTCCAGGCTTTGAGCTGTCAGCACAGAGCCCGACATGAGGCTCGAACCCACAAACCATGAGATCATGACCTGAGCTGAAGCCAGACGGTCAACCAACTGAGCCACCCAGGTGACCCAAGTTCTTTAAATCAAAGTCCTGGTGTTGTCCCTGTATGACTATCATTCTGGCTCTTTTTAGTGTCCACTTCCCTGCGGCTGGTTTCTATCTGTGGCCAGAGACAGGCCTTGGCTTCCTGGTAACAGCGGCAGTGACCGTCAGGATTACGTTCAATTCTTGGGGTCAGCACCTGGACCTGGAGTTACAGCATCACAAGCAGTGGATGGTGGCAGGCCCTTTGTTTGACATCTCAGTGGAGCCTGAGGGGTTCATTGCTGAAATCCACCTCCCCCACGTCATCTCCCTCCCAGGTAAAGAGGGGAGAGAGGAGGCTGTGGGGGTGGTGGGGAATGTTGTCTAATGGCTTTTGTGGTTGCCTTACAGCAAATGAGGTGGATCTCTCTTGGTTCCAAGTTGCTCATTTCAAGGATGAAGGGATGGTTCTGGAGCCACCAGCCCGAGTGCAGCCTTTCTATGCCGTTCTGGAAAACCCCAGCTTCTCCCTAATGGGGATCTTGCTGAGATTCGCCAGAGGGACTGGTCTTTCGGTCCCCATCACCTCCACGGCACTAATCTATTATCACTTCTACCCTGAAGATGTTATATTTCACTTGTATCTTATCCCCAGTGACTCCTTGCTAACGATGGTAAGGCCTGCAGATTTTGGAGGAGATGTGGGAATTACATTTTCAGCTTATCACCTTGGACCTTCTGTCTCCCTATAGAACAGAGGAGTCAAGGCACAGGGGTGCCTGGGTAGCTCAGTGAGTTGAATGTGGGACTCTTCATTTCAGCTCAGGTCATGATCTCAGTTTTGTGGGTTTGAGCCCCTGTGTTGGGCTCTGTGCTGACTGCGCGGAGCCTGCTGGGGATTCTCCCTTTCTCTCTGCCCCTCCTCTCCTCTCTCTCCACACACACATGCAAAATAAATGAATAAAAAGAAGAAGGAAAAGTTAAGGCACAGCGTTCATTGCTAGAAGTATAAATCACCCTCCACGAGGTCAATCTGTAGGTGCTGAATCTTGAGCCATATGCAATAATCTGCAGTGAGAATTGGGTTCTACTAAAAATAGAGCTACATTTTCTGTTTTTTAAGGAGAAGCAAGAAAGGGAGAGGAGACTTAACGGGGGACTGGCAGAAGACGTAATGCAGAGATTTCATTGTAGAATTGGACATTAATCATACCTAAATGAAACACACACACACACCCCACTGGAGTCATTCTCCTCCTGTGTATTTGTGACAGGCTCAGAGTCCCCCTCCTCCTTTTCCTGGGTTAGTGGTGAAGCACATGTCCTGGTCATTGTCACTCTGACTCCAGAGCTACCATATCCTTGGAGAAAGTGCCACTTCTGTCCCTCCAACCTCGGTGGAGAGGTTAGTGGGGGAAGAGTCATTTGATTTTCTGGCCAGTTGGTTAATTCTCCTACAGCCCTATCAGAGGCAGGAGCGTGCCTGGCGGTCACTGGGTTGTGAGTAACCATGCGTATTTAAAATACAAGAGAAAAAATATTTTAAAGTTTGTTTACTTATTTTGAGTGAGAGAGCAGGGGAGGGGCAGAGAGAGAGGGAGAGAGAGAGTCCCCAAACAGGCTTTACTCTGTCAGCACAGAGCCCCATCGGGGCTCGAACTCACGACTGTGAGATCATGATGTGGGCCTTTTAATTTTTTTTAATGTTTTTTTATTTATTTCTAGGGGAGAGAGAGAGAGAGAGACAGCGTGAGCAGGGGAGGGTCAGAGAGAGAGGGAGTCACAGACTGAAACAGGTTCCAGGCTCTGAGCTGGCAGTCAGCACAGAGCCCGACGCGGGGCTCGAACCCACGAACCGCGAGATCATGACCCAAGCGAAAGTCGGACGCTTAACCGACTAAGCCACCCAGGCGCCCCAATGTGGGCCTTTTAAAAAAGGCATCCCCTCCTCATATACAGAAGCCTATTCACATATATATTTATGAATATGCTTACGCATGTATATACATATATATTTACATGTATCGGTCGCTACATAAATCTTTATATCCGTTGAATGATGTCATATGTGCTAATTAATACAATAGGTGGAGAACTTTGTGTGCCACTGATTTTGCTTATTAACTTTAGCTTCACCCTCTGATTTGCTTCTGCTGCTTCCTCCTCAGGCGATAGATGAGGAGGAAGCTAAATTTCAAGGTGTGCGTCTGCAGACCTCACCCCCAGCGGACCCACTGAATTTTGGTTCCTGTTATATTGTGTCTGGTTCGCCTCACCTGGAGATAATAGGCAAGGTTGGTAGAATTGAAGTCTAACTCAAATTGAACTCAGGTTTCAAAATAGTTTGTACTTTTGGGGGAAAAATGGAAGATCAGGTCATTATTCTCTGAACTATGTCCTGTTAAGACCTGGGTACCCTTCTTTCCCTGAAACAATAATATTTCTTAAAATTTTAAACTTAAAAAGAATGTTGACCTTTCTCCCTCTGTTTTTCCATCTGTTTTCCCCTCAACCAGCCATGAGATTGTATAGGAAATGGATTCTATTTCAGTGGGATCTTCTGTAGGCAGAAAGGCCTTTCCACCCCCCGATGCTTTAAGTCAAGTGGTATGTTTCTTCTAGGAGTTGAAATTATCCTACAGGAGCCCTGGAGAAATTCAGGTCTTCTCTAAAGTCTATGCTGGAAGGATGAAGGAACCAATCATACTTAAAATTACTGAAAAAAGACACAAGACTTTGGTCTGGCAAATTTTGGTGAAGCCAGGTAGGTAAAAAGATAAGGCTAAAGATTTAAAATCATGCACCTCTTTCCTTGGTTGCAGTGAAGTCTATCATAGCAGAAGGTCTGTTTATGGTCCCATCCCAGAGAAGAAAATAAATCTACTGCAAATCTGTAATCAACGTGGCTTGAAACAAAAATGATAGTGTGTGCCTGGGATGGGATGGCCGTTGATGTCAAGAATGGAAATCTCCCATACTTAGGAGGTAGTGAACAGGAGATGCTAATTATAAGAGACTGAAGGAGCATCAAGTCCATTTGATTCTATCTTCTGGGAAATTTTATAATTGTTGGCATACATGGAGGTTAAGGGGATGCTGAAAGAGGAAGGGCAAACAATTTACCAGAAGTTTAAACCACAGCAGGGCTTTTAGAGAGAAAAGTGTAAGACCATGTTGAAGGCTTAATGGGAATCACAGTTTAATTGTTTTCTCAAATGGTTGCTCCAATTGGCATATCTCTCACCAACTCCTAAGTGTGTCCAAAGTTCTGCACGATCAACAATCCCAGTATTATAAGGTTTAAGGAATATACTCGCTTATTGTTCGAATGTACTGACTTCATGATGAAATGGATTTGCCTAGAAGATAATTTTTTTCCTCCAAAATTTTATTTAAATTCTAGTTAGTTAACATATAGTGTAATAGTGGTTTCAGGAGTAGAATTCAGTGATTCATCACTTACATACAACACCCAGTGCTCATCCTAACAAGTGCCCTCCTTAGTACCCTCCTCCACGCAGCCCATCCCCCACCCACGTCCCTCCATCAACTCTCAGTTTGTTCTCTATCATTAGGAGTCACTTACGGCTTGCTTTCCTCTTTCTTTTTTTTCCTCCCCTTCCCGTACATTCATCTGTTTTGTTTTCTAAACTCTACATATGAGTGAAATCATAATGGTATTGGTCTTTCTCTGATGCTGGTATTTCACTCCTCATAATTACTCTAGCTCCATCCATGTGGCTACAAATGGCAAGATTTAATTCTTTTTGATGGCTGAGTAATATTCATATATATATGAACACCCCCCCCCCATATCTTCTTTGTCCATTCATCAGTCAAGGGACACTTGGGAATAGTTTGGTTTTTGAATAGTTTGAACCATAGTTTGGTAATTGTAAATAATGCTGCTATAAACATTGGGATACATGTCCCCCTTCAAATCTGTGTTTTCTATCCTTTGGGTAAATACTTTGTGGTGCAACTGCTGTGCCATAGGGTAGTTCTATTGTCTAGAATAATTTATGTAGAACAGTATGATAATTTTAGTGTTGCTTCACGTTTTCTCACATATTGGCTTAGAAATAGAAATAGAAAGAATATTGGGAAATTATATTCCTTCCTCTGATGCATTTCCCTAATGGGCAGGGAGTGACCTGTTACTTCATTGGGTTCCATTAGTATATTAATGCTCGAATGGGATCCTTCACTTAGGAAATGGGATTAAATTATTTTAGTGTGTTACGTCAAAGACAAGAGAAACTAAGGGGCACCTGTGTGGCTCAGTCAGTAGAGCATGTGACTCTTGATCTCGGGGTCATGAGTTCAAGCCCCACGTTGGGCATAGAGATTATTAAAAACAATAAACTTAAAAAAGAAAAGAAAAGGAAAACTAAATAAAGGGATACAGCTGATCTCATATCATTCTCCGTCTTTTCCTTCCTTCCTAGTGGAACTCCGGTTTGGTGCTACATCGGCCCCTCCTCCTCTCTCAGGTCAGTGCAGTGTTTCCACCAAAAGTCTGATTTCAGGAGGTCTTTGAGTGGTGTGATGTCACTCAATGAGGGTCAATACCTCGTCTTTATTTTCTTTTTTTAAATTTCTTTTTTATTTATTTCTAGGAGAGAGAGAGATAGACAGCATGAACAGGGGAGGGTCAGAGAGAGAGGGAGACACAGACTCTGAAACAGGCTCCAGGCTCTGAGCTGGCAGTCAGCACAGAGCCCGATGCAGGGCTCGAACCCACGAACCACGAGATCATGACCTAAGCGAAAGTCGGACGCTTACCCGACTAAGCCACCCAGGCGCCCCTCGTCTTTATTTTCAAAGACTGAGTGGTGCCAGAGACAAACACGGAGTCTGATCCACATGTGTGAGCACATGAGGGTATAATATGCAGACTCCGAGCATGCAGCTGCATCTGATAGGGGAAAACATTTTGCATCTGCTGCACTCTTAAGAGAAAGTAGTTCAAAATGGCTGAAGCTCAAACTTTAGAGAGACGGAGGCCACCGGAGACCAGAGAAGCAGGCGAGATACAGAACTTGTAAACATAAGGACGATTGTTGAACTCTTTTGGACCTTAGTCTGAAGGCAAAAGGGGACTTTTGAAGGGCAGGTAACAATGCGCTCAGTCTTCCAAACAGTATGGATGAGGAATGAACAGACAGTGGGAGCCAGTTTATGAAGCCATTGTAAATATCAAGATCACGTACTAGCTGGGAATTGGTTAAGGTTAGTGGACATGGTAGGTGGCAGGCAAAGAAAGTATTTAAGATAAGAAGTCAAAGGGCAACAGGCTGCCTCAGTCGTAAGAGCGTGTGACTTGATCTCAGCATTGTGAGTTCATGCTCCATGTTGGGCATAGAGACGACGGCGATGACGACTACTAGTACTACTACTGCCACTACTACTATTATTACTAAACTTTTAAAAAGAAAGAAAGAAAAGAAAAGAAGAAGTCAAGATTCAGAGGACTCCATTCTGCCTTCCATGTTGTTGGTCATGATTGTCAGGCTCCACACAGTAGAAGTGACAGGCCTCCTGTCTCAAAACAGATCATCCAGGAGGAGAAGGAAGGCTCCTCAGGTATCACATTGGCTTAAAATGGCAACAGACCCATTTCCTGGCCAGCTGGTGGTGTCAGGTGGTCCAGAGAGGCAGACTAGCTGGAGAAAACCACGCCCCACACCTGGAGTTACAATTGGGTTCAAACTCAGCTATGGATCTCGGTGAAGAATCAGGTAGAGATGATTTCACAAAGGAAATTGAAAGGACTTAATGTAGGTGGTGAGTGTACAGCATCAACACAGGGTCTCTCCTACCCTTCCTATCATTCAAGCCCTTGAGCAAGAGGTATTTGTCACGTGTCATCCAAAGGATAACACTGACACTCATTCACTCTGTCTAGTAGACCCTTCAGATGCTACTGCCAGCCCACATCTTGAGTCAAATCTTTATTCTGGCCACCATGTGCTATGGATCATGACACCTCCTTACCCCTCTTTCCCTTTTGGCCTCGTGGCATCTTGTATTTAATACCCAAATCCTTCTTCTGGGGCACTTGGGTGGCTCAGTTGGTTTAGCATCCGACCTCGGCTCAGATCTTGATCTCATGGTTCATGAGTTCCAGCCCCACATCGGGCTCATGCTGTCAGCACAGAGCCTACTTCACATTCTCTGGCCTTCTCCTGCTCACACACTCTCTCTGTATCTCTCTCTCTCTCTCTTCCTCTTTCAAAAATAAATAAACATTAAAAAATAGTCTCACTCCTTCAAATCCTCTTTTGATACAAACTCTTCTGTGAAGACCTTGCTTTAAAGTCTAGTCATGCCCTCTTTAAGATCCAAAGGCTATAGTTACATTTTTTCCCCTGATGAGATTATGGTTGTAAAAATGATCTTGATGGTAAATGCAGCTTATTGAAGGCCTGTAGCGTGCTAGATAATCAGGGTATCTATATTTGTCCTTTACATCCACCACTTCTGTTTACTTCTGTCAATAAGCTTTGGCTGGCTTCTCCAGACAATCACAGAGGAACGTCAGAGTGGGAACATGGTAATGGCCGTGAAGTAACAATTCTGTAGGAGGGGTAGTCTGAGACAGACACACTGTCTGCACTCATGGGGTTTCTATTCCAGCAGGTGAAAACAACAAAGCCCACTCCACAGTGCTTATCAAAATATAATTATGGCACAAGTTCCAAAGGAAAAATAGAGGGATTTAGAAGAGGTTAAGATGGGGAGCTCAGATCCAACCTTGAGAGAGTTGAAAAAGTCTCAGAGTGCATCCTGGAGAAAGGAAAAAAGGGAAGTTGATGTCCAGTTAAGATTGAATAGCAAGTTAAGATTGATCCCGGCTCAGGTCATGATCTCACAGTTCGAGTCCTGCATCGGGCTCTGTGCTGATGGCATAGAGGCTGCTTGAGATTCTCTCTCTCCTTCTCTCTCTGCCCCTCCCTGCTTGTGTGTGTGTGTGTGCACTCTCTCTCTCTAAAAAACTGAATACATTTTTAAAAAAGGAGATTGAGTAGCAGTTGCTAAACAAATGGGAAGGGCGAAACAGTTGAGGCATCAAGAATAGGTTAAGCTCAGAATCTTTCTGTGACAGTAACTTCATTCATTCAAACTGTGAAGTCACTGAACATATACTTGCAATGACTTTTCAATATAAAGACCAAGACTTTACAGAAATCACATCGTTAAATTAAGCTGTTTGACTATAGCACAGATGACTGGGCATTAATTATCTGTGCCACTGTGTTAAGAACAAAAGTTCTAGAGGCATGGGTTGTACGTAAAATGCAATCACGTTTTTAAAAAATGGTTATTTATTTTGAAAGAGAAAGAGAGAGGGAGAGAGTGCAAGCCGTGGGAGAGGCAGAGAGAGGGGGTCAGAAGACCTGAAGCAGGCTCCATGCTCTGAGCTGACACCAGAGAGCCAGATTCAGGACTTGAACTCACAAACCGTGAGATCATGACCTGATATGAAGTTGGACGCTTCACTGACTGAGCCACCCAGGTGTCCCAGCACTCACTTTTAATGAAGAAACTGAGGAACAAGAAAGTGATGTTATTTGGCCAAGGTCACACAGGTATTATACGTGGGCACCCACAGGAACCTTGATTCAGCATGACGCAAAATACCTTCTTCCGTCCAGTGCTCCCTGTCCCTTCTGTGCTGTAATTAACCAGGTAAATCTCTTTCTACACAGTTCAGCAGCAGAAGGCCCTTGAGGGTGGGGAGCCAGCCTCATCTGTCTGCATCTCAGGTGTCATGCATAGCTGCAGGCGATGTATGAACTTGAAGATTCTTAGAAGGATGAGTAGATGGATGTACAGCAATGTACAGCCCTCTCTCTAGGGTTCCAATGACAACCCGCAAGTAGTGAAGGAGAGGTGCTCAAAGCTTGGAGGGGAGGAGTTGGGACTGAGGAAGAGGTATCATTGAGTTCTCCCTAAATTCATTGACCCCTGAGAATGGACTGCATGTCCGGAGTATGTGTATGTGAGATCAGGGCAACACACAGAAGAGAATGAGCAACGTCTCCTGCAGAATTATTTTTTTAAGCTGGGCATAGGTCCTGAGCCCTCTAAGCGAGCTGCCCTGTTCTGAGTGTGCAACTCTTCCTTCTACCCAGCTGTGGCCTTTATGAAGGAGCACCGCCGGCAGCTGCGAGCCAGGATGGGGGACCTGAATGGAATCCTGGACGATCTTCAGGACAGCGAGGTCCTCAGCGAGGAAGAAAAGGAACTGGTGCAGCAGTGGCCGACACAGCAGAGAAGGAACGAGACCCTGCTGACGATGGTGGAGAAGAAAGGGCCCCAGGTCCAGGAGATATTCTTGAAAAGCTTTAGTAAAAGAGACCCTTACCTGATGTCCTACCTCAGCCAGCAGAGTTTACGACAGTGATTCAGACAGATACTCAGGAAGGGAGAATCCAGTGTTCTCCACTGGAAAATGGATAAAACAGACGTGTGATCATTGAGTTCAGTGTCTAAGACAAAAGAGGTCCAGAGGGCCCCTGCACGTCACACAGGCTTTACGTTGGCAGAGACCTATTACTGGATCCTAATACCTTGAAGAATTATCTGAAGAGAGTAGGAATACTCCCACTAAATGCCTTTTACAAAAAAACATTGAACATCAGTACCAAAAAATAAAACCCCTGGGTTCAAAACAGGCAAAAGTTATAAGTAACGCTTAGTAGAACATGAACTACAATGGACAATGAATCAGTGAAAAAAATGTCAACTTCTAGTTACCAGGGATCTTATATGAAAGCTATAAGGAGATACTGTTTTGCATTCATCAAATTGCCAAATACTAGTTTCTGGTATGTAGTGTGAGAGAATATAAAAGGCACAAAAAATATTTGAGTACTGTTATTTGTTATGTAGAATGATTTTTTTTTAATGTTTATGTATTTTTGAGAGGGAGAGAGAGACAGAGCATGAGCAGGGGAGGGGCAAAGAGAGAGGGAGACACAGAATCCGAAGCAGGCTCCGGCCCCGCGCTGTCACCACATTGCTCAACTCCGGGCTCCTAGAACTCACGACAGGTGATATCATAACCTAAGCCCAAGTCAGACGCCAGGCATCCTGAAAGAAGTGTCAATTGTTTGTTATGTAAATGTTCACTTCAGAAACTAATGAGGACAAAGAGTGAAATAAAAGATTCACATACCTTAGTGCCAAATTTTCTCACCTTTTAATAAACTCTAGAGACAAATACAAGTAACCTTGCTCCAGGATGTAACATAAATAAGTCAAAATAACACAATATTTATCAACTTCAGAATGGAACAAAAATGATGGAATAATAATAATTTGGAATACAAAGCAATTGGGAATGGGCACCTGGCTGGGTCAGTGGGTAGAGCATGCAACTCTAGATCTTGGGATTGTAGGTTTGAGCCCCACATCGGGCATAGAGATTACTTAGGGAAAGTGAATGAACTTCAGCTACCTGTTTAAACTTCTGTTAATTCCACAAATACATCTTTGAGATAAAAAACAATTCAACTTTGGTTAGACTACAGACAGGATAGTGCCACTCAAAGGAAAAGAACCCAAAATTGTTTTAGCAAAACATATACGAGGTTTAAATCTATAAAGGAAAGCAGAGGGGAAAACATTCCAGAATGGATAACTCTAGTTGTGAGGAATATAATATACAGCATGGTGCCTATTGTTAACCATTCTGTGTTATATCCTTGAAATCTGCTGGGAGAACTTGAAAGTGTTCTCCCATATATGTACGCGTGCGTGTGCACACACAGACACACACACACACATTCTCTCTCACAAGACAAAATGATGTGGGGTCATGGATGTGTTAATTAACTTGAGTGATCATCATTTCACATTGTATATGTATATCAAATCATCATGTTGCACACCACTTTATTGTTCAATCACACCTCAGTAAAGCTGGGGAAAAAAAGAATCATAACATTTGAGGTGAGAAAAGACCATGGTAACTTATAGACGTGCATACCAATGTTCAGAGTGATGGATACTTTTCTATGAAGTGAGCTGTGTTTTACGTGAATATAGATTACTTTTGTTATTTTTATATCTTATGTATTATGAATGAAATATTTAAACATAAAACCTTTGGACCCATTTAAATCTTTACCTGTGGCTTTAAAATGATAGTTAGGGGGCGCCTGGATGGCTCAGTCGATTAAGTGACCAACTCTTGATTTCAGCTCAGGTCATTATCTCATAGTTGGTGGGATTGAGCCTTGCCTCTGGGCTCTGTGCTTACGGCTTGGAGTCTTCTTGGGATTCTCTCTCTCTCTCTCTCTCTCTCTCTCTCTGCCCCTCATCTGCTCATGCTTTCTCTCTCTCAAAAATAAATAAATAAAATTTAAAAAAATAAAACGAGAGCTAGTCCACACCAAACCACCTATGTTACAATCCTGAGAGATCTCTGTGATAGTTGCACCACTGTGAAACTCAGTGCACTTCAGTCTGCTTGCATTTACGGAATTGAAAGGAGGAAGACGTTGTGAAAGCAGGGGGCACAATGGGCCCAGCAGCCAGAGGAAAGGTGTCCCCTGTGGAGCTCCTCTGAGCTCAGCTGCTAGCCAGTCCTGTGAGAGTTTCCATCAGTCCGTGAAAATGAGCGCTGATCGCATTTTGTGAGCCTGAAGTTTACTTTGTGATGTAGCTCACTGGGGAAAATGCTCACCCTCCGACGGGGACTTGCACTCCTCATCTGTAGATCTGATTCATTTAGCGGGAGAATCATTCTGCACCGGGAGGTGATGAGCTGCTCCCGTGGGCTCCTCCCAAAGATCCCGATAAACAAGTTGATGGAGACAGCGAGTGACATCAGTGTCTCTGGGGAGGAGCCCTCCTGCCATCCTGTCCCTGATATGCAGTCTGTGCCCATCAGGCCCAGCCTTTCTTTCCAGCAGGCATCCTGTGCTGGGGAAGCCGGCGGCCTTAGGTAAGGACTTGGTGACCCTTGCCAGAAGAATGACAGGGATCAGTGAAGACCCTCACTGCTCCTGTGTTTGCCCCACACTTCCTTACAGAGGCTTCAGGTTTTTTCATGTGTGTTTTCCTCATATTCCATCTGTTATGACATATGTATATTTCCTTCTTTTTAACTTTTTGCCATCTTTTTTGTCTTCCTCCTTTTCTTTTTAAAAAAATTTTAGGGTCGCCTGGGTGGCTCAGTCAGTTAAGCGTCCGACTTCGGCTCAGGTCATGATCTCACGGTTCGTGGGTTCGAGCCCCGCGTCGGGCTCTGTGCTGACTGCCAGCTCAGAGCCTGGAGTCTGTTTTGGATTCTGTGTCTCCCTCTCTCTCTGGCCCTCCCCTGCTCACGCTGTCTCTCTCTCTCAAAAATAAATAAAACATTAAAAAATTTTAGTTTATTTATGCATTTATAAGCATTTCTTTTTTTAAATGTTTATTTATTTTTGAGAGAGAGAGCAGGGGAGGGACAGAGAGACGGGTGACAGAAAAGCTGAAGCAGGCTCCAGGCTCCAAGCTGTCAGCATAGAGCCTGACGCGGGGCTCAAACTCACAAGCTGTGAGATCATGACCTGAGCTGATGTCGGACACTTAATGGACTGAGCCACCCAGGCATCCCTATTTATTTATTCTTGAGAGAGAAAGTGTGCACATACGAGCAGGGGAGGGGCAGAGAGAGAGGGAGAGAGAGAGAGAGAGACAGGATCCCAAGTAGGCTCCTCTCTGCCAGTGCAGAGCCTGATGCAGGGTTCAAACCCACAAAACCATAAGATCATGACCTGAGCTGAGATCAAGAGTCAGGGGCTTAAATGACTGAACCACCCAGGCTCCCTGGTTTCGCACCTTTCAAATGATAGAGTAATTTCTAAGATCGACATTTTTAATGCTATTCAAATGGCTTTGTGCTTGTGATTGTATATTTAAAGCTATTTTTATATTGGTGTATAGAAATGCAAATAAGTTTTATACTGACGTCAATTTCAGCAGCCCTGAAAATCTCTCTTGATTGTAGTGTATGTAATCCAATTACCTCTTAGATTTCTTTCTTAAAAATCATGTAATCTGTTAGTGATAAAACAGAGGGTTTTTTTCCAAATTATTATGAATTTTATTTTCTTTCTTTACTGTAAAGCTTAGGTACTGCAAAACTGAGGGTTAGAGCTGGTGATAGCAAGCATTTGTACTTACTTCTCTTTTTAAGAAAAAGTTGGAGCGTCTGGGTGGCTCAGTTGGTTAAGCGTCTGACTTCAGCTCAGGTCATGATCTCAGTTTGTGGGTTCGAGCCCCGCGTCAGGCTCTGTGCTGACAGTTAGCTCAGAGCCTGGAGCCTGTTTCAGATTCTGTGTCTCCCTCTCTCTCTGACCCTCCCTTGCTCACGCTGTCTCTATCTCTCTCTCAAAAATAAATAAAACATTAAAAAAAAGAAAAAGTTTTCAATATTTAGTTTTTACATGGTAGTTACTGTTGACATTTTTTAAATAAATTTTTACAGTCTTATTTATTTTTGAGAGAGAGCGAGAGAGCACATATGGGGGAGGAACAGAGAGAGAGAGGGAAACACAGAATCTGAAGCAGTCTCCAGGCTCTGAGCTGACAGCTCACGGGGCTTAAACTCATGAACCATGAGATCATGACCTGAGCTGAAGTTGGATGCTTAACCAACTGAGCTACCCAGGTGCCCCTCCAGTGACGCATTCTTGGGATTGCACGGGGAATGATTTTGCCTACTATTCAATTTCATCATGGGAGGTTTGCACATTCATGGGTTTCTATTATTCTACTATCTGCTTAGGCAATTCATGTCTTCTAGGAGCTGTCCCTATTTCTCAAAGTCCCAAATTTGTTGGCATAGTTCATCTTAGTTGATCTTAGCAGAGGACAAATGTGTTTTGCAGAAGACAGGGGATTATCTTACGCTTCCTGAGAAGCCATTCTAAATGTTTGCACCAGTTGTGATTTCTTTGCTGGGGCAAAGCAAGATTTTCTGGTCCCCGTTCTGCTGGTACTTGATCGGGTGAATTCATTTATTTTCTCTATACTTTATTGATAAAGACTACCAGAAGCAATCATCTTTCATCTGACAAGAATAATAATGTAACTGGCCTGTCTGACCTAAGGGCGATATCAACCTTCCTTCCATTTGCATATATATGACATATATAAATTATAAAATAAATTACACTTATTGTATATCACAGAGATCATCTTGATGATGTTTCTTTTTGTCACTCTCCCTCTCTCCCAATTTCTTTTTTTTTTTAATGTTTTTATTTATTTCTAGGAGAGAGAGAGACAGCGTGAGCAGGGGAGGGTCAGAGAGAGAGGGAGATACAGACTCTGAAACAGGCTCCAGGCTCTGAGCTGGCAGTCAGCATAGAGCCCGACGCGGGGCTCGAACCCACGAACCGCGAGATCATGACCCAAGCGAAAGTCGGACACTTAACCGACTAAGCCACCCAGGCGCCCCCCCCTCCCAATTTCTAACATAAGCCCTGTTAATAACTTTAAGCCCTGTGCACGGAATTTAATTTACAGGATGTCAAAAGTTTGACAAACTTTGTATGAATACAAATCTACAAGACTTCTTGTATCTTCTCTGGAAAAAGGGTTTTGTATGATTTCAGTTCTTTGAGAGATAATTGCATCATGTGTATCCTTTGTTATCCTTACCTAGAAGAAACAGGGGGTAGATGTGGATGGGCAGCTGATATGGGATGAACCATGCTTGATTTCAGTTGTCAACCTGACATTCTCTTGACTCAGAGCCACGTTTAGGTTCTGGATTAGAATGGGTCAGTAGCGGACCCCCTTGCGTTTGTGAAGGTGGCAGCGAGGCAGAGGCCTTTGACCTTGTAATATGGTGTCATTCAGCCCCAATGATAGACAGAAGCTCCCAGCAAGGTCTGGCTTCCAGCTA